GCTTAGTTATTACAAGAGTGTCGTCATCCTGTCTTTCCTTTCTTAACCATTTACTATGTGATTCCATCATTAAGCACCTGCGATGCTAAACAGTTTCTCATGGCTGCTTGAAGCCTTGCCTCACCCCTGTGAGACAGGAGCTGTTACTATTGCCTCTGAACTAATAAGGAAGCATAACCTCAAACAGGAAATTAAGAAAACATCGTAAGTTTTCAGGCTCATCACCAAATCTAGATTGTGAGATTCTGATGTTCCTGAGAACATGTGGTTTCTTTCCAGACCAGGACCCTACATTCCCTGCTGCTGATGGATGCTATAGGTATCTGCAATACTATAGGGAATGCTGAGTCTGAGTAGATAAATAAAACTATGGCAGAAGGCTCTTCAACATGACTGTCTTAGAGACAATGAAATAAACGAGGGCTGGCTAGCATGGACTAGTCAGGTCATCCTTTCAGGCTGAGCACAAGGAATGACACACACGAGGTCTTGCCCCGGTCTCCAGTTGGAAACTTTGAGAACTTGGCAAAGTAACCCAAAGTAAACTCGGGATTTCTCATCGGCGTCCTGGGGTGTTTTAGACATTAACTGTGGCACTCCAGGTGACAGCACAGAGTTGGCTGTGGTTATTTTTATTAGCTGGCAATTTCTCCAAGAAAGACTTGAAATGAATATATAGCAGTTCATAGAGTGGTTTTGCGAAGGAATCTGTCCAAGTTAAAAAAAAAAAAAATGAACATGGAAAGCTGTCCCAGGTGTTCTGAACACAGCCAGAGAAAAGCAAGCTCTCTTGGCAACTTTTGCTAAGTAATTTGGCAAGTTTTACCCTTTATACTTCTTTTGACCAGAGTGATCCATTCCAGACAATACTGTGAACTCTTCCAATAGGTTTCATGCATGATCAAAATATTACTCCTATCTCAAGCAACAGGACACATTCCTATCCTCATTTTCCCAATGATAATCTTTTTTTTTTCTTTTGGTATCTAACATCAAATTGCTTTGGGCTTTAATTTTTTTCTGGAAATTATTTATATAATGACATAGTTAGCACCAGGGTTAGGATATGTTCAAAATCTTAAGAGTTTTCCCTCATTGGCAGCAACTCAGCCATATTTCTCTCATGATACTTTTGATGTAAATTCATTAGTTACACTAAAAAAAATAAAAAAAGGAGGGAGTAGTATCAAACCCAGACTTTTGATTCAGTAAAAATAAAATATGTACTAGGCATTGTGCTACTCATTTTCTCCTTAAAAGCAAACAGAAAACAGTGTGACTCTCTTCTGCTTAGGAGTGGTAGCAGAAAGAGACAGCAAAAGAATCAAGTAAATAAATAATTCCAAATTTTGCTAAATGTCGTGAAAACTCTAAACCTTTCTAGTACAAAAACTAACTTAACAAAGCAAACTGCAGTGGATGCTACCAATTCACAGATTTTTGCAGGCAAAGATGTTTTACGGGCATTAGAGCCCAACAGAAATGTGAATGGACTGAGGATTCTGTCTCTGATTAAACATTTCCTTTTATTTATTTTTCTTAAGCACAAGTGGATCTGCCTAGTACAAGTGGAATTTGTTCACAGGTGGACCAGAAGGGAAAATCTTATCCAATTTTCTTCAAATTACTCCCCAAAAGTTCTTTTAAACACCTTCTAGAAATTTTCAAGATAGTGGTAGTATGGATTTCTTAAGAAGCAATTTATATAAAAACCTTTCTGCAGTATGTGTCTTTATGCACAAGCACAGAAACCAAAGGTGACCATTCCCACCTTTAGTGTGTGTCTTCTAATCCCAATTCCTCCAGTCAACATAACCCACAGGCATGGCCAGAGGCTGAATATGTCCTCACTAGTGTGTCTGCAAGCTTGTCTTCCGGGTTGCCCCGGATCCAAGCTGACAACTAACACTAAAAGAGCAGCAGGAGCGGCATAGAATAGAATACTCCAGGATCAAGAAAAAAATAAAAATAAACTGGTCCTGCCAGTAACTTGACATTGGATCCCCTCACTTCCTGAGCCAGAAGACAATAAAATTCTATTGTTTAAAGTCCCAACAAACTAGGCTCCTGTCTGCAAGCATAGAAAAATATCACTAATAGTGTCAGGGGTTGGCCTCAAGTTGGGCCAGACATGGGTTGGCCATTCTCTCAATCTCTGCCCCATCCTCATCCCTGCACATTTTGTAAGCAGGGTAAATTTTGGATCGGAGATTTTTTTCCTGTGGGCTGGTGTCTCCTCCCTCCACTGGAAGTCCTGCCTGGCTACATAAGGTGGCCACATCAGGCTCCATACCTTCACTGCTAGGAGTCTCAGCTACAGTCACCCCATAGACTTCTCAGAGCCTCCCCTACCCCGGGTCTCCAGCACATCCCAGAGATGACTCCAACCAGTTTCCATCCTCACTCCCAGCCACCCACACCTTGTTCTCTCCACACCTGATCTCCACCTGTTTCCCTTCTCACCACCTTTCCCTCACGGTTTCCTCCCTACAGCTACCTCCGATGTTTATTTTATTTCCCCTTCTGAGTGAGAGTCAAGCATCCTCCCTTGGGCCTACTTTGTTACTTAGCTTCTTTTTGTCTTTGGATTGTAGCATGATTATTCTGTACATTATGGCTAACATCCACGGTATGAGTATCCACCGTGCATGTCTTTCTGGGTCTGAGTTACCTCACTCAGGATGATATTTTCTAGTTCCATCCATTTGCCTGTAATTTTCATGTCTGTGTTTTTAATGACTGAGTATATTCCATTGTGTAAATGTACCACATTTTTTTTTATCTATTCTTTAGTTGAGGAACATCTAGGTTGTTTTCAGTTTCTAGCTATTACAAATAAAGCTGCTATTAACATAGTTGAGTAAGCGTCCTTGTGGTGTGGTAGAGCATCTTTTGGTTACATAGCCAGGAGTGGCATAGCTGGGTCTTGAGGTAGAACTATTCCCAATTTTCTGAGAAACCACCAAACTGATTTCAAAGTAGTTGTATAAGTTTGTACTCCCACCAGCAAGGGAAGAGAGTTCCCTTTGCTCCACATCCTCAGCAGCATGTGCTGTCACTTGAGTTTTTGATCTTAGCATTCTGACTGGTATAAGATGGAATCTCAGAGTCATTTTGACTTGCATTTCCCTGATGACTGTCTCCTGAATGGCTTCATCCAGCAGCTGATGGAAACAGATACAGAGACCCACAGCTAAACATTAGGTAGAGCTCGGAGAGTCTTGTGGAAGTAGTAGGAGAAGGATTGACTGACGGGGCTGGAGGGGTTAAGGATACCACAACTACAGAAATGACTAACCTGAACCCAGGGGGCTCACAGAGACTGAACCACCAAGCAGAGAGCACGCCTCGGCCTCTACACATATGTAACAGATGTGCAGCATGGTCAGCATGTGGGTCTCCTAACAATGGGACTGGAAGCTGTCTCTAACTGTTGCCTGCCTTTGGATCCCTTTCCCCTAGCTGGACTGCCTTGTGTGGCCTAAGTGGGAGAGGATGCACCTAGTCCTGCTAAGACTTGATGTGCCATGGCAGGTTGCTACCCATGGGGTTCTCCACTTCTCTGAAGAAAAAAGGAAAGAGGAATCAGGGGGAGGGGGGTTGTGAGGATGAGGCTGGGAGGAGAGCAGGGAGGGGGGCTTGGTTGAGAATAAATAAATTAAGAAAAAAGTCTCAACAAAATGTATTACTCTTTTATGTCATAGTATGACATGATTTATCAGTACATGTGTGTTAATTTGTTTTTAGTTTTTGCCCCTTTCACCAGATGATCATCTACAGAAAAGCAGGGAATGTACCTGCCATCTATTTAACATTATCATCATTACCAATACCAGACAAGAAATTACAGTGTCAAGATTAATGCTGGGTGGGTTAGACAGATGTTAGCAAGCTGATGTAAGCTCTCCCTGGGGGCTGCCTGTTCCACGCTCTGTTCTTATGACATGTGAGCTTCAAATGCTTCAATAATTGTAAGTGGTTGAAAAAAAGAAATACATTTCACAACCCGAGAACATTATGTGAATTCTGAATGTAAGGTTCGCACTCACTCACATATCACCTACATATGCCTGCCTGCTACAAAACAGTTACACAGTTGTGATAACTCACTGTTATCATTGCCTAACTCAAATGTTATTTGGTCACCTGCAGTGAAAGTCTGCCAAACGATTGTAACTAAAAAGAAAAATAAAAAAATAAAAACTTCCTTCACAAGCTCTGTGATATGCCCAGTGACAACTGCCCCGCCTGACATGGTCCAGGAGAGGAGTTGTTGGAGGAGAATGCTGAGTTCTTGTGAGAACACCCCAAGGAAACAAGACAAGAGTCTTTTGCCCTTAGCTTCTTCAAAACACAGAACTGTTCTTGGAATGTGTTTTCATGCTCCTCCCAAGTGTATGGTATAGGAGTGAGTTTACTTAAGATTACTCATTATTGCTTGCTGTTATTATTCAATTAAATGTTTGAACAATCATCCTTTATTTGCCTCTATGAAAAAAACATGTTTTTGCCCTGTGCATATTGTCCTAGTGACTGTACACAGCTTGCCACTCATGAGAACTCTACTCACGTGACCTCAGAGCCTGAAGTGCACAATGCTCTGGATAAAGTTGGCTGTTGCATGAGACTTTAGTCTCATTCATCAGCTCCATTCTCCCAGGTCCAACCACCTCTAGAGCAGTGACAAACAAGAATGGTAAGATTTTTTTTTTTTAATTTCCATTGAAAGTGAAAATTGAACTAGAGAATGTTCAACCTATGCATCTCACATGATGAATAACAACAGGTATGTACTGCCATGCTCAGTATTCATGGAATTTTGATGGGATTCTGATAAGGACTTTAAATTCAAATGAAATAAGGAATAATGATTATAACACAGTTATCTGAATTTATAATAAATTCTATCAAAGAAATCTATTCTTGGATACAAACATCATTAGTAAGGACAAAAATAGGAACGCTTAAGCTCTTATTCACACAAAAAGAACACTGTTTACCTTCGGTAGAGAAACAAACTGAACACATTCCACCCATTCAGATAAAAAGGGTTTTCTGCATATTGCACATTGTTTTGCCTGAGAGAAGATGTCTTTGATTTCTGGATAGTACTCCATGGCATCCAAAATCAAAGGGTGGTCTTCTTCTAACTGAAGGAGGATACATCTTGTTGCTATTTCCTAAATAAAAAAAAAAAAAAAACATAGTTCTTCAAATTGATTCAAATTTATATTTACATTAATTCCTATTTTATTAGTTCTAAAATCATGTCTAATCTTTATTGTTTATTAATCAAAGATCCTATAGTATATAAAATGACATGTATTACATGTGGCTGCCATTATTAAAAGAATGTCTTTCACAAATACAAGAGTGGGTACCATCTATCATATTTACGTCTCTTACATACAGAACCCCAAGTCATAATAAATTTACATTATCTGTTTAATAAAATTAGACATAATTTTTTTTGTACCTTTCATTACAATAAGCAGGGACTCCAAAAACATTCAAACCGGAGTCAAAAAGATTCAGTCATAGTTGCTAAGCTCTAAGTTCTTAATAACTGAACTGTGGCTCATAACCTACATCACTGAAGGAGCATTAGCATCTGTAAACTAATCCCTACTTTCACTCTTTGTTAAGCTTGGCCATGCTGACATATAGAAAACTTGGCTTCATCCAACAATAAGAGTAAATAATGAAAAAGTAATGAAGAAAGAAAAGTTGCCTTTCACCAGTACTGTCAACATCATCAACTTAAAAGAAAACATAGCATATGACTTATAAACTTTAATCTTCACTGACCTAGCAAAGGAAACAAGCATTTGCCTCTCTCCTGGAAAGTGCCCCAAACCCAGTATGTCACCTTAGCATAAGCAGTGGCTGTGTTTATGAAGCAGGGTGTGTTTATATAGCGTGGAAGTCTTGTATAAACATTACACAAACACTGCTTGAAATTTAAACAGTGGATGTGGACAGTTTATTTGGGAAATATTTTCCTGTCCAAAATGAAGGTTTTCTAATAGTCCATATAAAGCTCAGTTGGTCATTCCTATTCATGTCAATATGTCTATATAAACATCCACCTAATTCATGCTAATTGAGATCTTTGTAAATTTCAAGAGCATAGAATTCCTATGAACTTCTGTGGACCATTCCTTGCTATGCCCATGCTTCCCAGTCAACATGCATCTTGGAGGACCACCATCACACAGCAGAGCTACTTGAACATGTGTTCCTTGTACAACTGTTCCTTCACCAGCATAACCTTGTCAGTGGGAAATGGCCAAGGTCAACAGAGAGAATGAATCTGAAAGCACTAATACTACCATGATTCAAATCATCATCAGATGTTCGTTGTTACCTTTTCTCTGACCAATTCCATGGAGCAGAGTTTGTGATTCAAAATAAACTGCTTATTTTAGAGGTATGTCATTATCTAGTTAGACAAAATGGGTGGCTAGCTCTAGTATGCAGAAAACTTGTAGAGAAGGATTCATTTCCCAAACAGAAATAGAAGAATTTTCTGGAATACACAGACCTATAAATTGACCCATAACTATTAATTTTACCATTTATGATTTCTGGACCCAAACATGTTTATTGATTTCAACATAATGCTTGACAACTAATATATCAGTAATTACTTATATTCTCCTTGAAGTCAACACATTACTTTGGAAGAATAACGTATGTCATCGAAATTTAAAATTTTTATTTGAAAATGTGGGTATACACAAAGCAAAATACTATTAACATAACCAATAGTATCTTTTTTAATGTATTCAGTTTTTGATAAATTATAGTTGATTCACTTTGTATCCCAGCTGTAGCCTCCTCCCTCATCCCTTCCCAATCCCACTCTACCTCCCTCATCTCCTCCCATGCCCCTCCCCAAGTCCACTGATAGGGGAGGTCCTTCTCCCCTTCCCTCTGATCCTAGCCCATCAGGTCTCATCAGGACTAGTTGCATTATCTTCCTCTGTGGCCTGGTAAGGCAGCTCCCCCTTCAGGAGGAGGTGATTAAAGAACCAGCCACTGAGTTCATGTCAGAGACAGTCCCTGTTCCCATCACTAGAAAACCCACTTAGAGACTGAGCTACCATTCAACTGAGGAATGGATACAGAAATTGTGGTACATTTACACAATAGAATACAAACCAGCGATTAAAAACAAGGAAATCATGAAATTTGTGGGCAAATGGTAGGAACTAGCAAAGATCATCCTGAGTGTGGTATCCCAGAAGTAGAAAGACACACAGGGTATATTCTCACTTATAAATGGATATTAGAAATATAATATAGGATAAACATACCAAAATCTGTACACCTAAAGAAGCTAAACAATAGTATTTTTAAAACACTTCTTAGAGACACATTTTCTAAATTTTCTGAAACTAGATCATTTAATTATTACACCATCCCAAAGAAATTTTAAATCTAAGAAATCTTTTAGAGATAGATAAATTGTTTATTTTGAATCACTTGTATGCTATTTTATGTAGCATTTATGTAGACTATTTTATGTAGGCAATATGGTATGCCAGTTTCTAACCCACCGTTAATTGAAAGTCAATTCAGGTGCATTCTTAAGTATTCGTATATGTAGCATATCAAGTGTTACGTCATCTTAAAGTACATTGAAAACGCACACGAGCATCAGAGGGAGGGTAGGAAGACTTCGCTAACCAGATTACTTTTACCAGTTGCCGTTGTCTGACTTTTACCTGTTCCTATATATGCAATCTCTATTGCTTTCATGGTAAGAAAACAACTTCACAGGCAGTCAAAACTAATTTCTACCTGAAGCAATCTTGTATGTTCAGCCTTAGGGCGGAACACATCTGATAAATCAAAGTTCATGATAGAGAGTCACGCTCAAGTGTGGCAACACCTGCGGTCTTTATCTTGCCTGGTAGGAACGCAGCCCTTTGATATTCTTCCCTGGTCCTTCTTTGGATATCATTAACTAGTTTCAGCACACCAGACATGGTGAATTCCAGGTCATATCTGTGCGCTCGTTAGGAAAGGAGTCAAGTGAAAATGAAGCAGAAGCAATAAAGACCCCACTAGCAGCAGAAAAAAAAAAAAAAACTTAGGAGGCTAAAGTAAAAATAAAATCCCATTTTCTTTTCATCCAACAACAAAAAAAAAAAAAAAAAAAAAAATTCCACTTCTCTGTGCTGAGTCAGTCTGGAAATCTGACAGGTTACCCTGGATTCTGTGGGCAACTCAAAAAACTTATGTGGAAGATCTACATTCTTAATGAACCAGTGTTACACATTTGCTGAATTGTCAAGAATGCTTTACATCTTCAACTATGGAATAATGTGAAGGTTCATGCTTATGAGCTAAACCTTCACCCGTAGAGTCAAGATGTCTCTATGTTGTGTTGCAAAATTTGGCTGCGTCAGGAAAAGTGGGTTTCCTTCACAGTAGAACTCACTCAGCCTTAGATCCTGAAACTGGTAAAAGAAAAAGTCTTTATTGCAAACAAGACAACATACTTTGCTTCTAAAGGTTCGTTATAATTTAGGATGTACTTTCTATACTAGTATTTTAAGAATAGGAGATATTCTACTTGTCAGAAACATTAAGAGTTTTAACAGTGTTGTGAATGGCCATGACCTTAGAAGTCACTGGCTATATCTCCCATATTGACTAAGGAAACCTGTTTGTGCTCACAGAAAGAGTCAATAACAAAATAAGGTTTACCACATCAAATTCTGGAAACATTTGTAAATATGTGTTAGAAAACCAAGCATGATGAAAACATTCTAAGACATACTATACTCAAATTATTTTGTATTGTCTTAAAATCAATTTTTGTTTAATGAAGACAAGAGAAAACTAAAGATCTCGCTATAAATTGTTATGAACAAGAGAAATGGAAATAGAAGACAGTGACTGTGGTTCAGTAATCCAATGATTGCCTAGCATGTGCAAGACCCTGAGACTGAACCTTATCATGAAGCTTTGGGGAAATAGAGAGTTTCCAGGGATACTCAGTGTATAAAGAAAATCCAGCTCCTCCTGGAATCTGCCACTTACACAGAAAACAAGAAATACCTTTGTGGCCATATTACATTTAGTTTGCCTTTGCTAGCACCTATAATGTAGGAAGCTACTTCTCAAAGACTTTCTTAGCAAATTAAAAAAAGGCAGGAAAAGAAGAGTGTATCTTCAGAGGCATACTAGTGAATACAAAGGCAAAAAGGGGAAGGGAGAGGAGATGATGGAAGAGAAGGGCTACTGAGCTGAGTGAAAATTAGGGGAAGAAAGGAAAGAAGAGTTAAGGGGAGCTGTGATTAATAGTGTGTGTTGATTTGAAAGCATGAGCACTGACTGTACAGCTGGAAAGACATGAAAAGTCAACCCTCATGAGCCAGGATAAGCTGGCTCAGCCACACCATAGCATATCATGAAATTTATGGAAGAACTAGAGATTTATGTCATTTACCCAAGGATTTGAAAGATAGCAATAATTAGTCAAATTAAAAATAACTGATTTAAAACATCTTTCTGGGGAATTGTATTATTAAATTTTAGATGTCACAGTAAAGCTTAAATAACATATATAAGACTTCTAAGTGAAGAACTCGAGGCCTCTTTCTATCAGCTAATCCTGGCCGCACAACAGATATCCCAACCTTCTGGACTCAGTTTAAACATTATCAATTTCAAAGGAGCTATTTTGAAAGTAGGAGCCCATGTCAGTCATAAGTTGGTATTGAGTGTGAGAAAATGAAAAAGAGAATATGTTGGACTTAATTTTCTATACAACCATTGTTATTTATTTATTTCTATCCTATAAATAGCAATCTATAATTGTACCTAAACATAGTCATAATGAAAGAGGAGTTGACCACAGAGAAAGACAATGCAGCCAGCCCTGATGAGACCTGATAAACTAGGGTCAGACAGAAGGGGAGGAGGACCTCCCCTATCAGTGGATTTAGAGAGGGGCAGGGAAGAGATGACGGGGCGGGGGGGGAGGCTGGGATTGGAAGGGAGTGAGGGAGGGGCTACAGCTGGGATACAATGTGAATAAACTGTAATTAATATAAAAAGTAAAAATTTGGAAGAAAAAAAAAAGAGGAGTTGGGAAGAAGGCTCCACAGGCAACCTGCTTGCCATGCAGAGAGGAGGACCTGAGTTTCGCTTCTAAGCACCTATAGAGGAAAGCAGAAGCGTACATCTATAAGCTTGGAGCAGGGAGAACAGGTGGGAAAATGCCTTGAGCTCACTGGCTAGTCTAGACTAACCAGTCTAGACGAAGGTGGTAAGCTGCAGGTTCAGGGAGAGCTTCTCCCTCAGAAGATAATGTGGAGGACAATAGAGAACCCCCACTGTTGACCTCTGGCTTTCACATGCACACATACATATACGTATAATACAAACACACGTGGAAAAAATCGGATTCAAACATGAATATATATGCAAACATGACTAATATATGCAAATATTTTGCATTTGATTTACATAGTTCAAGGGCTATCTACTTGCTTCAATCCTGTCACTATACTTCCATCAAAGGTAATAACGGGTTCTCTAACTTGTTATCCCATTATATATAACAGATCAACCACTCCGAGATCCTCCTGCCTCTGCCTCCCAAGTGCTATAATTAGAGAAGCGTACCACCATACCTAGATAGGAAAAAGTTATCTTAACAGAAAGAAGATTTAATAGTACATGTCCTGTAAGAGGAAAGTTTTATTACCCTAGAGTCACATGCTCTCTCAACTTATATTAAGTATTCATCAAAATAAAGTCCTTTAGAGCCTTTTTTTAATGCAATATTAGGTGTCCTCAGCCTAGCTTCTTCATAGAACTAAGTATTTGGTTGCTATAGCTAACTCCACTAGAAAAATCAACTGCACTTTGCTGTGTTCACAAAATGTACGTCTCAGTGTCTCAGTGTGTGCCTGTATTTCTCAAACCACCAGTATTTTAAGTTTGGTCGACAGTGAGACAATTGTTCACTCCTCCCCAAGACGTGTCTAGGTTTGCCCACGTCTTTTAACACAACAGAGAATGCCAGCCAGCGAGTAGTCAGAATAGGTCAAAGATCTGGAGAGGACAGGAGCTCCACAAGGAGAGCAACAGAACCAAAAAATCTGAGCACAGGGGTCTTTCCTGAGACTGATATTCCAACCAAGGACTATGCATGGAGATAACCTAAAACCCCCGCATGGATGTAGCCCATGGCAGCTCAGTATCCAAGTGGATTCCATTGTAATAGGAACAGGGACTGTCTCTGACATGAACTGATTGGCCTGCTCTTTAATTACCTCCCACTGAGGGGCGAGCAGCCTTACCAGGCCACAGAAGAGGACAAGGCAGCCACTCCCGATGACCTAATTGAGTAGGATCAGAAGGAAGGAAAAGAAGTCCTCCCCTATCAGTGGACTTGGGGAGGGGCATGCGTGCAGAGGGTGGAGGAAGGGAGGGACTGGGACGGGAGGAGAGAAGGAACCATACGGGGGATACAAAGTGAATAAAGTGTAATTAATAAAGAAAAATAAAATAAAATGCTCACAAAAAAAAAAATGCTGCTAGGCATTCTCCTGTATGGTACAACTCTGGACAAGGAATTGCTGAGCCAAAAATGTCTTATAAATCCAACTTAAAGACATAAAAACAGAAAGTGCCACCAACCTCTTGTCTGGAGAATAGACTGGCTGATAAGGAAAGCCATGGTGAAAAGGCAAAGAAGGATTTTCAAGTTTTCAGTTGGGAATTTTGAGGCCTAATAGTTAAGAGCATATATTTGCAGAAAACCTGAGTTCAGTTCCTAGGACCCATGTCAGGAACTGAATTTAAACTGCATTTAGCTTGACCCCAAGGGATCTGACATGTTCTTCTGAACAATGAGGGCTTCTGGACTTGAGTGTACATTTTCACACATAAATGCATAAACATGCATACACATAATTTAAAACAAGAAATAAATAAATAGGAGATTTGCGGTTGCTAAGGGGAATGGCTCTATCAGTAATATACCCACTTCCCATGCATGAGAACCTAGCTTGGAATCTGCAGCTTCATGAAAGTACCAGACTGACAGTACACATCTCTAAACCCAGTACTCAGGAACAGAGGTAGGCAGCTCTCTTGAGCTCACTGGCCAGGCAGCCTAAATTTGTGGGCTCTGGGTTCAGTGACAGACCCTGTCTCAAAACTTAAGTTCAGAAAGATTAAGGAAGGCACCCAATGCTGACCTCAGGCCTCTACACACACTTTCATACATGTGTGCCCACATACATGTGCTCAATGGCATGCACACACACATTCTCCACATATACGGCTTCCCCAAAAGAAGACATGTATCTATGGAGAGGGTAAAGAACTGTATCAAAAGATGAATGTTGACAGGAAAGAGTTTGAAGGAGAGAGGATCAGAAAACCCAGAATGGCTGCTGAATATTGCCATGAAGGGGAAGTTTCTGGCTTCTTTGAAGACTCAGTTGTATCATGTGATGTTTTGCTGGACCTGGCTTGTGAGAGGGCAAGATGACGTTTTGCTGTGAGCTGTCTCATGTGAGAGGCAAGAGTTTGGCCAGCTGAGAATCCCGGGGTGGATTCTGAGAAGAGGAGACATATACAGAAGCCCACAGAAAGTGAGAGAATGTTTTTAAATCAACATGGCTTCGCTGATCATTGTTCTTCGACCTTCACTTCACAAAGAGAAACATTCCAGAGAACTTTTCAGGACAATCCAGCTGAGTCTTGTGGCTTTCGATGACTCATTCAGATTCAGTGGAGTCTTACTATTTCTGCTGAATCATGATGATTCATATTGCTCTTTGGTGTTGGTATTTGGACTGGACTGCTGGTACCAGACAACGAAGAATGGACTCACCCCAAGAAACTACTTTTAAAAATGTCTACAATCCCCTTTTTCTAATAACCTTCTTTCTCCCCTACCTCTGGTCAGTGGGTTGGAAGGGAGGTAGAAGTGTTTAAGGACCCTAAATAAAGTAGGTTTGTTGGAAAATCTAAGCCTACAGTCTTATGTCCTTCCTTGTGGTCAGATGAAAGGTAACCGCTTCCGTTAATATTTGAGGGCATTCAGCACAGTCAAAGGACCCAGACATGATCACTTCAGTTTTCTCTTTGTAATAGAGAATAAAATCATCTGCCAACTGAGTTTTGAGGCAAGATAGCAATAAAGAAAGGAGGCAGGAAGAAAGTGATGAAAGCTGGAGCCTGCAGCTTTGAAGAGAGGAGCCTATGTAGAAATATGCAAACACATTTTCCAGAATGGTGAAGAGATACTCTGAATCCACACAGTAGTGGTGGCCCATATGAGCAGAGTGGTGTAGTTATTTCTAGCAAATGCCATCCTAGACCACGTTAGAAATTTGTGGCAAGGAAGTATCAGAAAATAAGAAAATGACAGTACTGGATGTCAAGAAAGAAAGAAGAGAAAGAAAAAGAAAGAAAGAAAGAAAGAAAGAAA